GGAGGGCGAGGAAGCCTGAGATCCCCGGACAGGGGAGGCTGGACCCAGGCCTGATGGTCTTCTAGCAATGAAGGGCTAGGAAGGAACTTCCTAACTCTCACTGTACTTTGTCGTCCCCCCACCAGGCCGAACCAGATCCGCTGGAACCGGGGGAATGAGTCTCTGCCTGAGAGGGCGGAGGCCGTGGGGGAGACACTCACGCTTCCCGGCCTGGTTTCTGCGGATAACGGCACCTACACCTGCGAGGCGTCCAACAAGCACGGCCACGCGAGGGCGCTCTACGTGCTGGTGGTCTACGGTGAGGGCAGCTGCGGCCCTGGGCCGGGCGCAGGGCTGGAGTCACGGAGGGGGTGGGTTGGGGGGAGGATGTCTGTCATGTTTCTATCCGGGCAGGAGGCAGGGCAGGTATTGGGAGAAAAACCAAGTATTTTTCCAGGAAATGGAGCATCTGGAAAGAGGACCCCTAGAAGGGCCTGAGGGGGAGCAGTAAGTTTTGGAAGGGTGTCGCAGAGAAAGGGGCAAGGTTTCAGATGTAGTCTGCAGAAAGGTGTGGCCAGGACTGGGACCACATCCCTAAGGACGTGGTCTTTCTTGTGCCCTGTCTGGCCTCTGGCAGACCCTGGTGCGGTGGTAGAAGCCCAGACGTCGGTTCCTTACGCCATTGTGGGCGGCATCCTGGCGCTACTGGTGTTTCTGATCATATGCGTGCTAGTGGGCATGGTGTGGTGCTCCGTGCGACAGAAGGGTGAGTGGGGGGTGAGGGCAGGGCCCAGAGGGCCAGCGATGGGTGTGGTTGGCTGTGGGGTTGGAAAGAGGCGGGGCCTAGAGCCAGAAGAAGGGGGTGGATTGGAAGATTGGGAATCCTGCGGGACCTCAGGCTGAGAGTCCCCGGAGAGCAGAGCACTTGGAATCCTAATTCTCGTTTTTTACCCCTTTCTCTGCCACTGTCCTGTCTTGTTCTGTTCTTCCCTGGACCTGACTCCCTCTTCCTGTGTTCCATTTCCCCCTCTGTCTGTCTGGCCTGGTCTGTCTTCCTCTTTCCATGTCTCTGCCCAACATGCTGGTCGACTTGAACATCCCACTGCCTGGGGGGAAATCTACCATCCCTTAGGCTCCTATCTGACCCATGAGGCCAGTGGCTTGGATGAGCAGGGCGAAGCAAGAGAAGCCTTCCTCAATGGCAGCGATGGGCACAAAAGGAAAGAAGAGTTCTTCATCTGACCCCACCCCCACCCCAGGCCTGGGCCTGGGCCGGGTCCCCCCCTACTGCCATCTGCAAGGAACCAGCAAAGACATTACCAGAGTCTGGGATGGTGGGCTTCCCCCTCACCACTAACACCTCAGATGCTTGGGCAGGGATGGGGGATTGGATACCTGGATCTGTGCTAGGGCCAGAAGTGAGGGCCCCCGAGGTCCGGGTCCCCCAGGGGGCAGGGGCCAAAGGTCCACCCCCAAGTCCAGGGAGGGCAGTAGGGATTGGGTTGTGGGAACATAACTGGGGGAAAGCCAGGGCCCCTAGGCTAGAGAACCAGGTCTTGTGGGGAGGGATCAGATTCTGGGAAGGGAGGGGTGGGCAGGGTAGGGGAATACAGATTTCTTTGGGGGTCCCAGACCCCCATGCCAGCCATTGTAAGAGTTCCACAGAGCTCTGGGCACCTCTTTGCAAAGCCATGTTTGCACGGTGGGGGGACGGGTGGGAGGGGGCGGGCCTGGAAACAGGATTCTGTGTCTTTGTGTCAAAACTTTGATGGGGGCAGTGAGGGAGGCAGCCCCAGCTCTATCCCCAACCCCCTTCCCTAGGCTCCTGGGCTCCCTGTCCCTCCACCTCCTCCTGATGTCTGTCCCACCCATATTTGTCCACCCACTCCTGGGGGGGGCCTTCCCCATCTCTCCTCCAGGCCCCCCGGGGAGGAGAAAGGAGTTTGGGGGGAGGGTGCGTGGTCTCTATGGTTTTATATATAATATATTAAAAATTCAAAAATCTGTATGAAATATCAGATTGCACCCCCTACCCCCCTATTCCTGGCTTTTGCTCCCTTTTTCTTGTTTAAAAAAACACACATTTTTGTACGGGGAGGGGAAAGGGAGGGGGTTTGGCAATCCCACTAACCACCATTAAACTGAGGAGAGAACAAGTGTGTGGGGTGGCTGTGTATCTGTCCCTAGGCCCAGGGCTGCATCACTGGGTGGGAGACGAAGGGTCGGGGAGGGAGGGGATGGAGAGCCCAAGTTGCTGGTGCCTAGACTGGAAAAGGCTCTCACCATCCAAATTTTCAGCGTAATAAAATAAGCCACTGAGTCTGCCTGGTAGCTACTAAGCCACCCAGTCCCATCCTCACAGCCTAGATCCGAATCCTTTACCCTGACATTAATCTCCAGGGAAATGTTATTGCTTTTTCTGTTGTTGTTATATATTTTTGAGGCAGGGTCTTGCTACATAACTCAAGCTGGCCTTGAACCCTCTCCATCCTCCTGCCTCAACCACTGAGTGCTGAGATTGAGCCACAGGCCCACTACTTCCATTGTTCGCATCTTACTTTCCCTGCCCTGTTCAAAACCAGTCTCTACTTTCTCGTGTCCTCTAGATCAAGTCCCTTCAGTGTGGCATTGTTGTACGGTGAGAAAACGGAGAAGCCACATTTTGAGAGAGAGAATAGGGAGTCTACTAAAAGGCCGGCAACTGCTTGGTGGATGCCTATCTCAAACACCAGTAGCCAGCAAATACACTTAACAATTAGGAAACTGAGCCACAAAGGTCAGAGAGGAAAGAAGGAACAAAAACAACCCAACAAACCCATTCAGCTCCAGCTGGGATCTCCCTACTACAGCATGGCAGGTTCCTCACTCATTTACCTAGATCTCATGTGTATTGTTCTTTGTGTGTGTGTGTGTGTGTCCTGTCGTGGGGCCTGAACGCTGTCCATCAGCTCTTCAGCTCAAGGCTAGAGCTCTACCATTTTAGTCACAGCGCCACTTCCGGCTTTTCTCTTTTTGCATATGTCGTGCTGAGGAATCGAACCCAGGGCCTCATGCATGCAAGGCAAGCGCTCTACCACTGAGCCACCTTCCCAGCCCTCGTGTGTATTGTTCTAACTTTAGGTTAGGAAAGAAACCTTTATGACCTGGGCTGCTGCATGCATGTGGCTCTCCAAAGCTCTGGAAGGAGAACTGCTTAAGCTAGAGTTTGGGCCAGCCTGGGTAACAGAAACATTGTCTTTGTGTGTGTGTGTGTGTGTGTGTCAGTTGTGGAGCTTGAACCCTGGGCCTGGGCACTGTCCCTCAGCTCTTCAGCTCAAGGCAAGTGCTCTACCACTTGAGCCACAGCATTGGAGATAAGAGTCTCACAGACTTTCCTGCCCAGGCTGGCTTTTTACCTGGATCCTCAGATCTCAGTCTCCTGAATAGCTAGAATTATAGGCGTGAGCCACTGGGACCCAGCCCCATCATCTTTTTTTGTCTTTGTTTTGGGACGGTCTTCATACGTAGGGTAGGCTAGTCTGAAACCCTAGATTCTTCTGTCTCTACCTCCCAAATGCAGGCTTTGCACCAGGTTAGAGACTGTTAAAAATAAAATCCAGTCAAGGCAACAAGGCAGGAGGAGCAAAAGTTCAAGGTCAGGCTGAGCTATAATAGCAAGACCCATGCTCAAAAACAAGTATAATAACAAAATCCTTACAGTGTGCCAGCTACTGCTTGGAGTTCTTGAAACAGCTAAGAAAAAAATGTCAGGTGATACAATTGAACACTAAGGTGAAATCAGATACTCTCTAGGTGGGGCACATCCAGAGACCATCAGGGAGATTTGTGAGGAAACAGACTGGGGGGGGGGGAGGAAACAAAGAAACGATTTCAGATTGGATTGAGGACTATTAAAGTCAATAAAGGGAGGGGATTTGAGGGACTATTATGCTAAGTTTCAAGCATATCTCGGTAGCCAAAAGGGCCTCTAAGTCCCTTGTTCCCCTCAGCCTCCTTTCAACCACCATCTATGGTGCTAGTCCTTCTCTTTTAAAGTAACCCCACTCAGATTGGAATCCTGGTTATTGCTTCTCGGATTGGCATAGTGCCAAAACAGGAATAGGGAGCCCAGAACAGCTCTACAGAAATCAGAGTGAAAATATGCTCCGGTAGAGAACAGCAAGACCTAAGGCTCAAGAAGGTAAAGCTGTTAAGGGTGTGTGAAGGGTGGATTCTATGAACGAAAGGTGGGTGAGGTCAGAAAGATAAAAGAGTTAATGGGAACCCACTGGAGAATTTTTTAATTGCCACATGACAATCTGTTCTTCCGAAGCCTGACTGGTCTGAGGCTCTTCTCACTCCTGATTCAAAAAATCACCCAGAGGAGCCTTTCTTTCTTGGAGTGGGAGGCTGCTTTTCCTTTCCTCAATCAAACCACGCACTTCTTTGCTCCTGGGCGTTTGCCCTTGCTGGTCCCTGTGCCAGAATGATTTCCATTCTAGTTGGCTCCTGCTCATACTTGGCTTAAAAAAATAACTTCTTGGAAGCCTTTCTAGAACCCCAGGCTGGGGCAGACGCTCGTGTTATGCTCCCCCTTAGTCTAAGTCTTAACACTTCTAGGTAACAATCTAATCCGTGTGGCTCTCCTTTTCCTTGGGGGGGGGGGCGTTACTAGGATGGGGACCAGACTGGTTATTTGTTCACTGCAAAAATCTACCCGGCACAAGTTATCCTTGGTGAGAAGCTGTGAGTGTTGGTCGAGGTCTTGGCCCTTTGTGCTCGAAGGGTCCCTGAATACGACCAGGGTGTCCCGTCCTTCCCTCCCCCCACGCCACACACACACTTCGCCCTAGTCTGCAGTTGTTCTGCGCAGGCGCTCTGTTCAGGCGACCCTCCCCCACTGCTGGCCCATATGCAAATCACTGCGCTCCGAAGGACAGCCTCTCCCAGGAATATGCAAATCGCCCCGTGGCAGGAGGCCTTTCGGGGGCCCCCGCGCGAGGGCTATGCAAATGAGCAAGCCTCCGGTCTGAGACCCGGCCTCACAGCTCGACCTCCACTCCCCAGCGTCGCCCATTTATTTATTTATTTGACGAGGCTCGTTCCCGCCTGGCACACGCAGGCGCAATGCCCCTCAAGCGCCTCGGTCGTTCAGACCGCGGACCGTACCAAGTCCGAGCCGGGTACTGAGGGGCAAAAGCGCCGCAATCGCTGCGTGGGTGGCGTCGACGACCCGACTCCCGAGAGCCCCCTCTTCCCACCGTGCCCCGGGAATGGTCCAACTGGCCGCGCAAGCGCCCTAGGCTCCTCACGCCCCTCGCGCTCCCCCTCCCACCCTGCTTTTTTTTCTTTTCTTTTTCTTTCTTCCATTTCTTTTCTTTCTTTTCTTTTCTTTCTTTTTTTTTCCTCTCGCAACGCAGGCGCAGAGCCCGGGCGTGCAGCCGCCGAGCCCGAGCCGCCGACGCCGGTGAGTTGTCCCGGGGTCGGGGCGCGCGGGGCATGCCGGGAAGCGGGCGCTACGGCCCCGCGGCATGCTGGGAGCGGCGGCCGGCGTCACCCCGGAGCCCGCCGAGGCGTCTGGGCCGCGGTGACCCGAGCGGCCGGCGTGGCCGAGGACCGAGCCCGCTGGCCCGGATGGGCGACACCCGAGGCTCCCCTTCCTCCCACCCCGACCCCCGGGCGGCCTGGGGAGGGGGGAGCCCATGGAGAGGAAGGGGCGCGCGGCGGGCGGCGGTCCGGGAGCCGTCCTGTCAGGCTCGGGGCGTTCTGGGAGGCACAACCCCCTCCCCCCCACGTCCCTTTTGTCACACGCCGCGTCCCTCCGCCGGCCGTCGTCGTGGCAACGCCGAGGGCTTTCAGCATGGCGTTGGGGGGAGCGTGGTCGTTACGGGCGCCAGGCACCCTGGGAACTTGCCGCGGGGCATTGTGGGGCCGGGTCCTTATTGTTCTGTGGAAGCCTGTGGCCTGTCAGCCTTCCTTAGGGCCATCTTGGGGCTGGATTAGTGTTGGCTCTGGGGGGGTCTATGTCACCGCGACTTGTAGTAGTTGAATGACCCTTTATGATTGTGGGAGCCAGCCTGGTCGCCCCAGAGAAACCTCCACCTGATTACTGGAATACTCTGGTATTGGGTGTGTTGGCAAAGGGAAGGGTAAGCTAGACTGGTGGAAACCTCAGATGTCCTGATTGTCCCCCTATCCAGACTACGCGCTAGAATAGCAAATACCTGAAGTGGGTGTGGTGTCTTGGCCAGCCTCTGTAATCCCAGATCCCTGGGATGTAGAGGCCAAAGGATCTACTGTGAAGCCAGCCGAGGCAAACTCTGTCCAAAAACAAGATATAGCCAGGCGCTGATGGCTCACACACCTGTAATCCTAGCTACACAGGGGACTGACAGCTAAAGATGGAAATTCTGATCCAGCCCGGGCAGAAGAGTCCACAAGACTCCCATCTCCAAATAATCAGCAAAAAATGCCAAAGGGAGATGTGGCCTAAATGGTAGAGCAAGAAAGCTGAATGTGAGTGGGTTGCCTTGAGTTCAGGAACCTGTATGTTCATATGTGTATATACATTACATATACACACATATATAAAAAACAAAGGTGAGGCCACATACTGGTGGCTTACGCCTGTAATCCTAGTTACTCAAGCGGCTGAGATCTGAGGATTATAGTTCCAAGGCCAGCCCAGGCAGGAAAGTCCATCCAAAAAGCCAGAAGTGGAGCTGTGGCTCCAATGGTAGAGTACTAGACTTGAGTGAAAAAACGCAGGGACAGTGCCTGGGCCCTGAGTTCAAGCCCCTGGACAGTCACAAAAGAAAATGCTAGAGGGCATGGCGTATATGTAGAACACTTGCCTAATATTGCTAGTCCTGGATTCTATCCCCAGCATAAAAATGGGTACATGTGTATGTATGTATGTATGTGTACATACACACAGTTAACACATATAGTTAATTTTGCATTTCAGGTAATCCTTTAGAAAAATACAACTCAAATAGTGCAAGAAATACATATATTAATCATTTACATAAAATTAAGCCTTAACTCTCCCGGTTTTTGTTATTATTTGTTGTTGTTGTTGTAGGGATGGAACTCAAGGCCAGGGTGTTATCTCTGAGCTCTTTTGCTCAAAGCTAGGATTCTATTGTTTTGTGCCACAATGCCACTTCCAGTTTTCTGGTGGTTGGTTGGAGTATAAGAGCCTCACCACCTTTCCTGTCTAGGCTGGCTTTGAACTGCTATCCTCAGATCTCAGCCCCCTGAGTAGCTCGGAGTAGCCACCAGCGCCTGGCTAATCCTTCCGTTTTTATTGGCTAAATTTTCTGGGCTTTGAATGGTGAGGAGTTCTCTAGGCTGACTGGGGAGAAAGAGAACATTCCAGATAGCAAGATTAGGGTTAAGAAGACTGGTGGTAGAGTTCTTGCTGCACCAGCAAGTTATGCTAATAAACATAGTTTGTCTTGAAAACACCTTGAAGCATGACTGTAAACCCTAGTACAGCCACGTAGAAGACAGTGAGATGCGTGACTATGTGTCTGTCCTTTCTGTGGCTCAGCTTCCTCATCTGCTTTCCTGAGATCTTGTCTCCACTTGGATATGAGGAGTGCATGCCATTCTTACAGAAGGGGACAGGCCGGAGGAACGAAGTCCTTTGTTGAAAGCTACACAGCTGTAGAGTGACAGTTGTGGCATTCAAACACAGGCACTTGTCAGTAGATGCAGAAGAAAGTCAATATTCACTTACCTAGTGCAGCCCCTTGGATCGTTTAAATGCTGACATGCTTCTAGATTTGCTGGGCATATCACTGCTGTACCAAGTACCATGGTACCATGGTACCACACACTGGATCCTCTCCCAGCCTGCATCCCCCCTCCCCCACCCAATGCAGCATCTAGAGGTAATGTCTGCCCTGGGCCCCACTCCACTCTTAGTTCTCATAGGTGCCCATGCCAGGGATACCCCATGTATAACCATAAGAGTCTAGGTTAGATGAGGGAAATGAGAGGCCATGGGGGCAATATGGGTGCTCAAAGCTGGGTGGACAGTCTGATAGCTGGAACCATTAGCACCCCACCCCTGCCTACTAGGAAACGCACAGCTGGGCTTGCAGTAGGGGATAAGTGCTATGTAAAAATTTATTGAGTTACCACAGGCCTTTCTTTCCTCATGTCCAGCATCCCTCTCTACCTGCCAACATCCTGTGTTAGAAGAACTTGTGACTGGAGAGCTGGCCGGGGAGGGACGCTGCCCAGCTGCTGCTCTGCTCCTGTCTCCTGTCTGCTCCCTTGGCCATGACTGAGACCCGGGAGCCAGCCGAGACTGGAGGCTATGCCAGCTTGGAAGAAGATAATGAAGACCTTTCCCCAGGTAAGATGGTCTTAAAGGCGGTGGTGTTGGCTTGATTGTCATCCTGGCTTTGGGCTTGGGATTCACTGAGGAGATTGGGTGGGGAGGGGCTCCGTGCCTTGCTCTGGTCTGTGTTCTGACTTGGACTGTCCGTCTTAGATGGAGAGCTCTTAGGGATGTTGCTAAGGCCTCCACTTTCAGTTTGGCGGGGATCTGTTTCTTTGTCAAAGATTACATGTTGGCTGGATTCAACCACTTCGCTGGGGAGTCTAGTCTGGCTATCAGTTTTCTTCTTGCTAGAGGTTGAGGATTGGCTGCGGTCTCTGTCTGTGTTAGACGTTCTGGGTCTGCTGCGACCTTTCTCCTTGCTGGGGGTTATAGAGTGACTGGGATCTGTGTCTTTGCTGGATGTTCTGGATTGGTTGTGCTGTTTTGTTTTGGGGGGTCTAGATCGGCTGTAGGCTCTCTTCTTACTAGAGGTTCTCGATCGGCTGCGTTTTCTCTCTAGGTTGAACATTCTAGGTAGGCTGTGACCTTTTTCCTTGCTGGAGATACTGGATTGACTGCGATCTGTCTCTCTGTTGGGTGCTCTGGATTGTCTCCATTCTCTCATTTGGGAGGATTTAGACTGATTGAAGGCTCTCTTCTTACTAGAGGTCTTCGATCGGCTGTGGTCTTTCTTAGTGTTAGATGGTCTAGGTCTAGGTCGTCTGCAGCCTTTCTCCTTGCTGGTGATACCAGCTCGACTGCGACTTGTCTCCTTGCTGGACGATCTGGACTGGCTGTGGCCCCTGTCTGTGCTGGGCGTTGTGGAGTGGCTCTGGTCTCTCTTTGTGCTGGTCACCCTAGCCTGGCTGTGGTCTGTTTCCTTGCTGGAGCCTTGTGACTGGATGTATCCTTGGTCCTTGCTGGATAATCTATACTGGATGCTCGCTCTCTCCTTGCTGGCACTGCTTTCCCTTTTGGGGGTCTTAGATTGGTTTTGGGGTTTCACCTTTCGAGGAGGTCTGGACTGGCTTTGTCTTGTCACCCGGGAGGGAGTTGCCTTCCGGGTACGACTTCGTGCTCGACTACTATTTCTCTTCCAACTGTAACTTCTCACCCCATCGTGGGTCCTCTTCCGACTGTAACTCCTCGACTTGTGAGAGGTTCTGGACCCGCTGGAACTGTGGCTCCTGCCATGAGCCATCTTCCGACTGTGGCTTCTTGATTTTCTAGGGGTTCTAGACCTGCTGTAGCTGTAGCTCCTATAGGGACTCAACTTCCGACTGCGACTTCTTGATTTTCTCACGGCACCTGGTATGCTGGGACTGCGGGTCCGACTGGGGACTCGAGCGTGGTTGCAAGCCTTGACCCTGCTGGACGGGTCATTGGGGCTGTAACTCCGCGCCCTTCTGAGGGGCATCATCTGGCTGAAGCTTTTCACCCTCCTCAATGACACTATGGTCTGTTTGTAACCCACGTGCTCGAAGCCGGTTCCAGTTGGGCTGAAGCTCTTGGCCCTGCTCAGGAGGGCGGCCAGCGTGAAGCAGCCTCTGTTAGACACTCCTGGTGGGCTGTAACTCTTTTCCCTGTTCATCTTTCGGGGTTGGCCGTCGGTCCTTTCCTGGGCACTGGTTCTGGGTCGGGCATAACCCTTGCCCCGACTCTGTTTTCTCTGGGAAGTAGGAGTTCTCGCCTTCTTGGCTCCGCCTGGTCTGGTACCTTGGCATCTCATCTTGCTGGTGGTGCTGGCCCGGCTCGGCGACCTCTTGGATGCATGGCTTCCCTTTCTGCCTGGAGTTCGACCCCGGCTGTGTGCCCTCCTCCGTGGGTGGTGTCCCGTGCCGCTGGCCTTGCTGACCTTGCTGGCCTTGCTGGCCTTCGTCTCGGTGCTCGCCCGGCTGGGTGCCCTTGCCTTGCTGCGGACTTGGGATCTGCTGCTGCGCTGGTTCGTACTTGAGGTTTTAGCGGACTTGGAGCTGCCTGGGTTCATAACCGTGGTGAAGGTTGTTGCTGGCTTTGGGGGCAGTGAGGAGCTGTTGGGTGTTGCTGATTTGGTCTTTCCGGGGGCAGATTTGGAGGCTGTGGTGGGCATGGGAGGCCCAGTGGAGGGAGCCGGGGCCATGCTGGACTTTGAAGATCTCTTCGGTGGAGAAGACATGGTGGGCACAGAAGGGCGTGGGGTCCATGTTAGGTCCTGGTGGACAGGCAAGACCTGCCTGTTACCATGGACAGCAGCCTGATGGCCTGTCACAGGCCCGCTGCATGAAGTCATAGTGGGTGTCATAGTGGGCACCCGGCCCCTGCAGGCGAGGGGAGAGGACGGTGGGGGCACTCCCTCTATGCCACAGCCATTCAGACAATGTATCCTACCCCTGCCCCATGCTCAGCACAGCTAGGGACATGAGATGGGACCTGTCCTCAGGACCTGTCCTGAGGAGTCTCCAGACCTAAGCAGTCATGGCCCAGCGTGATCAGGGTATGATGGGGCACAGGAGTGGGAGGAGCCTTGAGCAGGGCCTGCTGACCACCTGGTGGGCCACAAGGTGATGTGTGGAGGGAGCAAGCCCTGCTGGCAGAGGAGGGAGGTCAGGCCGGGGCCCATATATCACACCTGTCCTAGAGGGAGCTTCAAGGCTGATGGAGACATATGGGGCCCTGAAGGCCACAGCCTGTTGGACAATGTTGGGGGATGCTGGAGTGGGAGAGTAGGGCAGAGGAAATGGGGGAGAGACCCTGGCTGGGGGTCTGGGGCATAAGGGTGGTGGTCTCATAGGAGACAGCCTGTGTTGGGTCCCGAAGGAGGCAGCCAGAGTGGGGGACTGTGTTCCAGACAGAGGGGTCGGCACATGGAAGGCCCCAGGAAAAGGATGAGGATGTGGCCTAGTAGTAGAGCGCTTGCCTCGCATGAACCAGGCCCTGAGCTCCATCCTCACCACCTCCACAAAAACACTGAAACTCAGAAAATGTTTGCTGAGGGCTGGGAAGGTGGCTTAGTGGTAGAGTGCTTGTCCTAGCATGCATGGAGCCCTGCGTTCAATTCCTCAGTGCCACATGCACAGAAAAAGCCAGAAGTGGTGCTGTGGCTCAAGTGGTGGAGTGCTAGTCTTGAGCAAAAGAAGTTCAGGGATAGTATCCAGGCCCTGAGTTCAAGCTCCAGGACTGATAAAAAGAAAAAGAGAGAGAGGGTGGGGGGAAGAAAGAAGAAAGAAAGAAAAGTGTGTTGAATGGCTGGGAGATAGCAGGATAGGGCAGGAATAGAAGATAACAAGAGCCAAGGGAAGCCCTTCAGCAGACATTTTTTTAAATTTAAATTTAAAATTTTTTTTATCTTTATTAGTCATGGGCTTGATCTCAGGGCCTGGGCACTGTCCCTGAACTTTTTGTTCAAGGCTAGCACTCTACCACTTTGAGCCACAGTGCCACTTCCTGTTATCTGGTGGTCAGCTGCAGATAAGAGTCTCACAGACTTTCCTGCCTGACTTCCCTGCCCAGGCTGGCTTCAAGCAGTGAGAATCTCAGTCTCTTGAGTAGCTAGAATGACTAGCTACCGGGCGCCTGGCTCAGCAGACATTTAGAACCTGCTAGGCTGGGGAAGCTCAGCCCCGTGGTGCCACAGCAGACCTGTCCCTCTTGCCTGGTCCCAGGGGAGGGTACCTGACGCACACACCATAGCTCAAAGACAATGGAGCTGGGTCGGCAGACCAGTCATGGCAGAATGCACAAGAGCCGGGACCCCAGGATGGGCAATTCCAGCCCTCAGGTTCACTACATGAATAGGCAGGCAGGCATGAAGAGCACTGTTGATGTTGGGGGCCACCACAGTGAGCCAAGGCCCTGCTGGGACAGGAGAGAGCACACCACCAGAAATGTGAATGGAGGAAAGCAAGCAGAGAAAGAATGGGAGGGGGTGCCAGGGAGCACAATGTCCCTGATAAGGTGACACTTGAGTCACAGCTGTGGGGGAGTGGAGGGAATGAGCTCGATCTGTCTGTGAACGAACAGAGAGGCGCAAAGGCCCTGAGGTTAAACAACAAGGAAAAAGCAAATACATGTTCCCTTTGGCCCAGTTCCTCCATATAGGACTTGTGTCACATGTGTGAAATCATACACAAGAATAGACATAATAACATTGCTTTTAAAAGCAAAAGGAAAGAAAAAAAAACAGAAGGAAGAAGGAAAGAGCTTTCCAATGCATATAGATAACCATTTTGAGGGGCAGAGGTGCTATTCCAGGGGGGTAGGTTATAGCAAGTTTCTATTTGTGTGATGCCCACATATACACACACATTTACACGATGATGTTTACATCTGTCTTATCACACTGAATGACTACGTCGTTGAGGCTAATGGTCCAGGAAAGCAAGGTTGCTGAGAACTAATGGATATCCATGTAGATTTTGCACCCTTGGGATAGGACTTTGCCGGGCACTGGTGACTCATGCCTGTAATCCTAGCTACTAGACTGAGGTAGGGAGGATCTTGGTTCACAAGCTCCCTTTGCAACCCATAGGTGGGTTGACAGGTGCATGTCTCTAATCCCTACCTGCCTGGGAGTCTGAGATGGGGAGGATTGGGGTGCCAGGCTAGCCCAGGCAGAAGTCCTTGAGTCGGTATCTGTGTGGAAGGACGCAGTCACGTGCACCTGGGGTTCCCAGTGAAGTGAAGATGGAAGCCTAAAAGGAGACATCACAGCTCAGGCATGCGCTTGGGCGGAAGCCAGATCCCATCCTAAAAATAACCAGGCTGCCTCAGCGGAATCCTTCCAGGCTGGCAAGTGTGAGGCCCTCAGCACCACCCGACACTCAGTACCACCCAGTACCACCAGGGCCTCATACACAAGATCTAATTTAGTTTTTAGTTTGTGTGTGTGTGTGGTACTGGGGCTTGAGGGGTTTTTTTGTTTTGTTTTTTTGTCTGTCGTGGGGCCTGAACTCGGTCTGGGTGCTGTCCCTCAGCTCTTCAGCTGAAGGCTAGCACTGTACCACTTGAGCCACAGCGCCATTTCTGGCTTTTTCTGCTTATGTGGTACTGAGAAATCAAACCCAAGGCCTCATGCATGCGAGGCAAGCACTCTACCACGGAGCCACCTTCCCAACCCCAATTAAAACAGCTTTTAATATAACAATAGATGGTTGGGTGAGGTGGTACACATCTGTAATCCCAGCACTTGAGAGGCCCAGGCAGAAAGGAGCCTATGTTCTGGGTCAACCTAGGGAAAGCAGCAAGATCTTGAGTCAAGTAAGAGAGGAAGAAGGAGGGAGGGAGGAACGGAGGGAGGGAGGGAGGGAATGAATGTAGTGGACAGAGCTACAGTAATAGGTGCAGTCCTTGCAAGCTATCACATGCTGCTGCACAGATACAGGGTGCATGCCCAGGGCCAGGCCTGCCCTCCACCCTGGCTAGCCTGAGTAGGGCTCTGGGAGGGCCAGCTGGCAGGGCCGTCTATCCTTCTGTCCTCTGAGACCCCTGTCTGTCCTATGTGTCCCCACAGGCCCTGAGCACTCCTCCGACTCTGAATACACCCTCTCAGAGCCAGACTCTGAAGAGGAGGAAGATGAGGAGGAGGAGGAAGAGGAGACCACTGATGACCCTGAATATGACCCTGGATACAAGGTGAAGCAGCGCCTTGGAGGGGGCAGGGGAGGCCCATCCCGCCGGGCCCCTCGGGCAGCCCAGCCCTCGGGCCCCCCAGCCCAGCCCTGCCAGCTGTGTGGCCGCTCACCACTTGGGGAGGTCCCTCCAGGCACCCCACCTTGCCGGCTCTGCTGCCCGGCCACAGCACCCCAGGAAGCTCCAGCTCCTGAAGGCCAGGCCCTGGGCGAGGAAGAGGAGGAGCTGTCTCGGGCAGGGGAGGGCCGAGCCACGGGGCGGGGGGAGGAGGACGAGGACGAGGAGGAGGGGGGGACCTACCACTGCACCGAGTGTGAGGATTCCTTCGACAACCTGGGGGAGCTGCACGGCCACTTCATGCTGCATGCGCGCGGGGAGGTGTAGGCCGAGCTCCGCCAAGGGGCGGGTGGGAGGAGGGGCGGAGGAGATCCCAGGTCGCTGGGCTGGGCTCCCCATCTGTATTGTCTTAGCAGTAGATCCATGAAGGTTGGAATAAAAACCAGTTCTGTGTTTGGGGTCCAGTGTGTGGTGTGGAGGTAGGTGCAGGGCACTCCTGCTGGGTCACTGTCTGGGGTCCTCCTGCAGGCACCAACATGGAGGTGGGGCCCACTCACATCCTCAGATTCCAGACACAGCAATCTGTGCTTTTCACTCAGGTAATGGGTCCGGATACATGGCTGGGGGGCGAGGTGGATGTCCCTCCCTCGGGCCAGGCTGGGGAGCCTGCTGTGTCCGTTGCTTTGCCTTTGCTGAGCTCAGTTCCCTGGCCACAGCTAGCATTCAAAGGGAGCCTGGAAAGAGGCACCCACCAAGCCCCAGGAAGCAGAAAATGGTTTGTGGGACATTGGCACTGGGACTCCTGTTACAGGGTTTTAGTGTCTTTCAAAAGCCATACTTCTCAACCAGGTTTGGCGGTACACACTTGTAATCCCAGCACTTAAAGGCTAAGGCAAAAAGACCATGAGTTCCAGGCCATCATGAACTATATAGCCAGATGCTGTGTACCCTCAACTCCCTCACATCTCTCACCACAGAACCTGATCCTCTTTGAAATGGGGTCTCCATAACCAATACACCAGAGCCTCATAACTGTCAAAGACTCCCATTGTTCTGGACTATGGTGAGGCAGAAGATGGCAGACGGGTGTGGTGGAGAGCCGAGCTGCCTGCCCTGAGGCAGCCAGGAAGCAGAGGCTGCGCTGATGGGCAGGGTGTGCTGTACCAGTCCAGATGCCTACAGTTCCTGCAAGCTGACAAGATTAACATCATACTGCCCAAAGGCCCTGTTTTGTACCACCGTGTTGAGCACGGGTGGTCTGTGGGCAGCAAGCAGGGCATTCTGGAGAGGAACCTCTGAGGTGCCAGAGAGCCCGAAACCCCAACTTGAAGAAGTGAGGCTACTCAGGGATCAGTGTCAGGTACAGAAAGAGAAGTGAAATTGCCGGGTGGTTGGAACTTGGGAGAATAAATCACAGGGGACTGATGCAGGGATCGACACGTGGTGCTGCATGGCTGGGGTTAAATATCTAGGGGACCCAGCTGGAGCCCCAAGAACTGCTGAAGAGCCTCCATAACTACTATAATCACCATTTCCTCAGCCCTGCCTCCCCTCTACCCCAAGTGGGCAAGTCCTTTGCCTGACTTCTCTTCATTCTGTCCACATTCTTCAGGTATGGAACTTAAGGGCATCAGCTCAAGGGAGTCTGGGAAATGTTTGCAGAAAACCCCAGCGTGACAGCCATGTGGCAGGCTGCAGCTGAGACACTAGGTGAACAGGCATCGTGGGGTCTGTGTACCCTTACCCCAGATCCTGCGCGCGCACACACACCCTCTGCTGGAGGTGATATTCCCCAGGTTGGGAATCCTTGCTTCTAGGTATGGTGGAGTCTGTGTACCCTTACCCCAGATCCTGCGCGCGCATACACACACACACACACACCCTCTGCTGAAGGTCTGTGTACCCTTACCCCCAGATCCTGCACACACATATACACACACACACCCTCTGCTGAAGGTCTGTGTACCTTACCCCAGATCCTGCACGCGCGCACGCGCGCACACACACGCCCTCTGCTGAAGGTCTGTGTACCCTTACCCCAGATTCTACACACACACACACACACACACACACACACGCCCTCTGCTGAAGGTCTGTGTACCTTTACCCCAGATCCTGCACACACACGTACACACACACGCACGCGCACACACACACCCTCTGCTGAAGGTGATATTCCGCAGGTTGGGAATCCTTGCTTTTAGACTCATCTGGGGCAGTGAGGCCAGCAATTGTCCTAGTTTATGAGGGATTAACAAACTTTGATTGTAAAGAGCTACTGTAGGCCACAGGGGTCTCGGACACAACTACATCAACAATAAAATAATGAGTCTTAAGTGTGTTCCAATAAAAGTTTATTTGCAAAACTAAGCAGCTGGCAGGATTGGCTGTAGTATAGACCCCTGCCTTAAGCTACAAGTTCTGCTGCACATCACGTAGACCCAAAATAATGGTGGCTTGAGATAGAGTTTGCTCTCTCATATAGTAGCTTCCAAGTGCTCTGTGAAGCAGGCCAGAGACCCAGGCTCCCACTACCTTTTTGCTCTGCCATCTCTCAGGTTGCTTTTGTTCTTGTGGTTCAAGATGGGTGGGTACCATGTTCACATTCCAGTTAGGAAGGATGAGGAAAAAGCCTGTCCCTGTCCCAGGATACTTGAGCATTCTACCCAGGAATTTTCCATCATGTGACTATACCTAGCTGCAAGGGAATCTGGGACATGTAGTCCTCTAAAATTTCAGAGACAGCTATCAGTCTCTACCACACACCTCACTTTCAGACTTTAATCCCTCAATCCGGAGTCCTTGAAGACTGTATGTGGGGCTCCAGTCATAGTCTCCAAGGACAGAATAGGTAATATCAGAAAACAAAATGGGCCTGGGTGAGATTCATCTCATCTGAAGGCAGCTGCCACTGCTCAACTCCAGCTTGTAGCTGCTGCCCTGCTCCTGCTGACCATGTAAAGCCCTCACATTGGGCCACTCAAGAAAACTTAAAATAGGGCCTCAACGGGAATTCTCCCAGAGCTGGCCAAGTAAATCACGAAACAGAAGGTATTTCTGTTTGATTCCAAATTAGTTTTCCTAAAGGACTAGGCCAGTGTGGCCTGAGCGCGTCCCCCCCTCCCCTCCATCCTTATGTGCTCTAGCAATTCCCACTCAAAAGCTAGAGCTCCCAATTTAGACACTTTAATAGAGATGCTTTGTTTTTAGCTACTGTTAGCTTATTCATGCCACCTCTTCTTTGCATATAAGACGTATTCTAGTACAACTAGAATGCTACACAGAATTGCTTAAATAGAAAATAAATTATCTGGGGGACTAGTGCTATCCAGTGGCATTGATCCCTCTTTTGGAGGGGGGAATGCTAGCAGGAATAGGGGAGAGATGAACCTAAACCCCTTCCTGACTCTGGGTCCAGCTCAGGTCCCTGATGCTCCATCCCCGACAACTTGGAGTTGCTCCAGGTCTAAGATGGAGCTTGGCACTACAGAGCAACAGGGCCTCAGCTCCCTGCCTCCACTCCTCCTACCCACGCAGGCACAGATCCAGGGCAATTTGCTCCTACAGTCAATGGCATCCATCTGGGAAAAATTAAAGGTGATTATATAATCTGCAGCTAGTTATTTAGCTGGAAATGAGGGAGAAAGAAGTCATTTTTCCTTCTCATTTTCTTCAAAAGATCTGATTTCTTTGCTTCCCTAACGGCCCTGTATCCACCAAAGAACAAAGTGCTGGATGAGAACCTTGTCAAGAGCCATTGCCAACCTGGGGATGGAAAGAATCCCTCCCCAGACCCCCAGAAAGTCTGTGTGTGTGTGTGTGTGTGTGTGGAGAGGGCTTGGGGGTGCACTCAGAGCTCCCCCCGAGCATGCTGGATGTAATGTTCATGCAGCCCAGCTTCCTGGGCAAAGTCTTGACCACACTCAGTACAGGCAAAGGGACCAGGAGGGGTGTGGGCCTCATGTACCTGGCGGTGTTGCCTCAGGGAAGCAGCCTGCCCAAAGACCTTGCCACAGTCAGGACAGGGGAAGGTGGGCTGGGCAGCAGTGGGCACACCGGGCAGGCAGGGCCTGGCAGCTGGAGCATGGCTACGCTGGTGGGCGATCAGGGCCTTGGAGGAGGGGAAGGAGCGGGCGCAGATGAAGCAGATGAAGAGGGCCCCCTGCAGCTTCTTGGCCACGAAGTCCGCCGGGTGCTCCCGCTTCATGTGACGCTCCTGGAACTTGGAATCGGCGAAGGTGATGAGGCAGTGGGTGCACTGTGGGGCCCCTAGGCGGCCTGAGGGATGGGGAGAGGTCGGGGGAGGCCAGCAGGAGCCTCCAGGGCCTCTCCTGAGCCCCAGAATCACACCAAAAGTTACCATTGATGTTCTCTGGGCCCGGCTCTAGGCTAATGCTGGGCAGTGGTACAGGATATCTGCTTGTGGACCCACTTTATGGATGAGCAGACTGAGTCAGAAATGAAAAGGCAGAGCCGGGGTTAGAACCCAGAGTCTGCCCACCAAAAAATGCAGTGATTATAGCATTCCCTAGCTCCACTTTCCTAGGGAAGGACAATTTCTTCATCTGGAAAATGGGATAATCATAGTAACTACAGGGTGTTAAAGGAGTATAAAATTTATATCAGTGCTCAAAACAATGCTATTCAATCTTTGCAATTAATGCTACTGAGACAGAAAAAAATATCTCAAAACGTCCAGTAGCTGACCTGCTACTCACAGCTAGGCCTTGGTGTTCCAATGTATGCAAACAATTTCACAGAACACATCCAAGGCAGACAAAGCCATTGAATGAATGAAGATGAATTGCCGGGCCAGGGGCTCACGCCTGTCATCCTAGCTACTCAGGAGGCTGAGATCTGAGGATCGCAGTTCAAAGCCAGCCAGGGAAGGAAACTCCTCAAGACTCTTATCTTCAATAAATCACTCAGAAAACTGGAAGTGGTGCAGTGGCTCAAGTGGTAGAGCACTAGCCTTGAGCTGAAGAACTGAGGGACAGGGCCCAGGCCCAGAGTTCAAGCCCCATGACTGACAAAAAAAAAAAAAAAAGATGAATGAGTCGTTGATGAATCAAGACCAGATCACACCACAATCAGGTCAGAACGAAAACCAAGGACATGTCTAAGATAAGTGATGGCTGCTTTGTACCAATTACAGGCTTGAACCATGCCAGTTTCTTCCCTCCTTTGAGATAAGACTAAGCCAGTCCTGGATACTGCTAGGCAGGGGAGGTATCCTGAGCAAAAGGGTTTTTAAAAGACTTCCTAAAAATCACACACAAACCCCAAGCCTATCAACCCATTCTAACCTCTCAGACACTCTCCTGTCCCCTGTGCTAAGTGTTGCAATGCACAATAACTTGTTCAAGGTAAGTGCATTTCTGGTACCCTTTGGTCTTTGGTACAGTTCCAATGACATAGAGTCCATTATTAGAACTGGAGTGTTAAACTCACTAATATGAGAATGAACACATCCAGCAAACAACCCTTTGTTGAAGGGGCTGCTACCATATAAACCTTCCTAATATCAAGTTCCACCCGCCTTTGTGTGTGTTGGGAATACTGGAATTTGAACTTGGGGCATCATGATAAATAGAAAGGTGCTTTACCAGTTGAACCATGCTTCCCCCCCATCCCCAGCCCTTTTGCTTTAGGCTTTCTTCTACTGGTACTCTTGTGACAGCCCTGCCAGGCAAGCAGTGACCACTTTCTTGACAGATAGGGAAACTGAGGCACAATTCAGCTGCAAGTCTACAGTAGAATTGGGAGTCTTTTTCTGTGTGTGTGGCCTGAGCAGGCCAAGCATATCTGAGTACAAGGGTGAAGAGAAGGTAGTTCCTGGCAGGTAGCTGGACCATCCCAGCTCCTCCCAACAAGGGAAGTCGGGTAGCGGGGACACGGAGAAGAGAGATCCCTCTTAAACTCGGCTTCTGCACCCACCCTCCTCTAGATGGCAGTACTCACAGAGGTTGCCTCCAGGGCTGCAGGGACTCTTCTCCTTGGACGCATCCTGCGGCCCCGTGGTGTCTTCGGGATGTTGGTCCTCCGTGGCTACTGGGACCCCTCTGATTAAGAAAAGGAGCATGTATAGCTGATCATCTGTCACCAGCCATACACGGTCCACTTACAGCCTCACGACACACCATCCCATACATACCCTAATGACGTTCTAACTAAAAAGAATCTCATCCCTCTCCAATTAGGTTGTCCGGCCTATGTCCTCCTTCACCAAACTAGTTGAGAGTAGGTTCCCTTTGGGGGGGGGTGGAGGAGGTGGAGCTGCTACAGGGAATCGAACCTAGGGTCTCGAACGTGCCAGACCAGAGCTTTACACTGCCTGAGCCACGCCCCTCCCCTAGCCTTGACCCTTGATCTTTGGCACCAGCCTCATCCGTCCAGCCGCTCAAGAGACCGGAAGTGTAGGGGTACCCACCCTTTAGCCCATCTCTTCCCGGGTGACATCCTGTGGCCCTTGCTGTGACACCCAGAGCCCACGCCCACTGCCAGCCCGCGGGGGTCCTGCGGCTCCCGGACACCGTCTCGGGCTCTCGATTCCAAGGCCGGTCACCGGGAATATCTCCGTGCAGCCGAGGACGGCCTTTCGCCGCGCCCGTCGGAGGCGTTCGAGGAGGTGAAGGTAGGGGTGTGGGGGGTCCCATCACATGGTCCGGAGGCCCCAAAAGGTGTCGTCAGCCTTTCCTCCTAAAAAGTCTGTCCGAAACCCAAGTCACAGACGGTCGCCGTCCGGCCATGGCGGGGTCGCGCCAGCCACGGAGGTGCGTGGGAAACCTTCCCAGCGCCGGGGCGCGCGATGATGACGTCCGGCCGCGCGTGCTGCGACAACCCGCGCTGACTGCGCAGGCGCCTTGGCTCCCTTTATTGTCCCCGGCGGGCGCCGCGGACGCTGCGGGGAGCCGAGGGACGTCTCGGGCCTTTCTTGGTCACGCTCCCGGACACACCCCCTGGTGGAGGGAGGGAGTGACGTCAGGTTAGAGCCGCCAGAAGGCGTCCCCCTAACCTCTCTCTGGGCTCTGTTCTCCGGGTGCCCGGGGCCGGCGCGCGGGGGGCTGCTCTGCGGCTGACCGGTTTGCCTCTGACTGCGCTTGGCTTCCTGGGGTGTCTGATCTTTCATCGGTCGGTGATTTGGAACGGGGGGAGGGGTGGCACCCCCGGGTATGGCGTGGAGGGGTGTGGGGGGGTGGAGATAAGAGATTGACTTGCCGGATTTCTAACTATTGGAAGCAGAATGGGAAATGTTTGCGTCCTTAGGGGGAGATTTTTTTTTAAAAAAAAGGTGTTGACAGGTGCTTGGGTGTCTAGGGAATACAGCCCTGGGCGTTAGATTTCCAGGTCCCAAAGGGTGACACCCGAGAGTGGAAGTCGGGGACTGAAGTGTGGGGTTCAGAGTGGTGCGGCTCGGGAGGGAGGTGGGGAAGAAAACATTTAAAAAAAGGTTCGCCTTGATCGGTGTCTTTCCCCCACCCTTTGCTTTCCAGCAATGCCTCCTCCGCAGGGCGACGTGACTGCTTTATTCCTGGGGCCTCCAGGCTCGGGAAAGTCTGCACTGATCTCCGCGTTGTGCGGCAAGAACGTGGAGACTGTAGAGATCCCCGAAGCACGGCCGGAATCTGGGGTCCCAAACCTGAGAACTGCGGGCCCCGGCCTCTTCCTAGGCGAGCTGAGCTGCCCACCCGCGGCGCCAGGGCCCTGGGCTGCCGAGGCCAACGTGTTGGTATTGGTACTACCCGGACCTGAAGGGAACGGGGAGCCCTTAGCCCCAGCTCTGGGAGAGGCAGCGCGGGCTGCCCTGGCTCGAGGGACCCCGTTATTGGCTGTGCGGAGTCTGCGTCCTAGCGAGTCACAGAATGAGGTCCTGGCCCGGGATCAGACAGAGGCCTTGCTGGACAGCGCCGGGTTAGGAGCGGCTTCCCTTTTCGTGTTGCCGGTGGACTACGGCAGCGGCGACCACTGCGAGGAGCTAGAACGCCTGCGGGCGGCGCTGCGGAGCCAGGCCGAGGTGCTGCAGAGGTGAGAGGCGGGATCAGGTTTGGGTGGGAGAGGGAGGCCTGTTCGCTTAAGTCTAGACCCCACCCGAGTAGAGTGAGTTTGGAGGTAGGCTTTGCTACCTGCAGAGGTTCTCCTTCTTCATCCAGACCCCGCCCAGCTCTGCAGATTTTTGAGATCCGAGAGGCTCCACCCTAAGTCAGCGGTGTCTGACCCTTTGTTGTCATTTAGGCCCCTCCCCAGCCACAGATCAATTGGAGATCCGGACTTGTCTCGAATGTCTGGGTTCTTGCCAGCCTTCTGAGGTGAAAACAACCCCTATTCCCCACCCCCACCCCTGGCAAGAATTCTAGAAGCCTGGACTTACCACTAAAATACAGCCTGCAGGCAAAATGTTGAAGAATTCCATATTTTACCTCTCCACAGAAGTTAGGATCCCACAAAGATTTTCCCAGATGATCTCTCCACCAACATCCTGGTTCTCCAGCCATCCTCATTTCCTAAAACCTAAACCTTGACGAGCATTAATATTTCATTGTCCATTTGCTGGCTACCTCTTAAATTGTCCCCTATCCCCACCCCAATTGTCAGCTGTGTGTGTGTGTGTGAGTGACAGTACTGGGGCTTGAATTCAGGGTGTTGGCACTATCCCTTAGCTTTTTCTGCTCAAGTCTGGGACCCAGCCCACTTAAATCACATCTCCACTTCTTTTATTTTCTTTCTTCCTTCCTTCCTTCCTTCCTTCCTTCCTTCCTTCCTTCCTTCCTTCCTTTCTTTCTTTCTTTTTTTCTTTTTTTGTCAGTTGTGGGGCTTGAACTCAGGGCCTGGGCACTGTCCTTGAGTCCCTCTGTGCTCAAGGCTAGTATTCTAACACTTAAGCCACAGCACCACTTCCAGTTTGTTTGTTTGTTTTTTGTGGTCTTGGGGCTTGAATTCTGGGCCTGGATGCTGTCCCTCAGCTCTTCAGCTCAAGGCTAGTACTCTACCATTTGAGCCACAGTACCATTTCCTACTTCCCATTTTTAAGTGGTTAATTGGAGATAAGAGTCTCACAGAAACTTTGCTGTTAAGGCTGTCTTTGAACTGAGATCCTCAAATCTCAGTCTTCTGAGTAGCTAGGATTACAGGCAGGAGCAACTGGTATCTGGCTCCATTTTTTTTCCCCTGCCAGTCCAAAGTCTTGAACTCAGGGCCTAGGCACTGAACTGCTTTTGTTCAAGGCTGTCACTTTACCACATTAGCCATGGTGCTACTTCCAGCTTTTTCTGTTTATGTGGTACTGAGGAATCAAACCCAGGGGCTTCATGAATGCTAGGCAAACACTCTACCACAAAGCCACATTCCCAGCACCCCCCCCTTTTTTTTTGTCAGTCATGGGGCTTGAACTCTGGGCCTAGGCGCTGTCCCTCAGTTCTTCAGTTCAAGGCTAGTGCTCTACCACTTGAGCCACTGGGCTACTTCCAGTTTTCTGAGTGATTTATTGAAGATAAGAGTCTCACAGACTTTTCTGCCTGGGCTGGCTTTGAATTGGGATCCTCAGATCTCAGCCTCCTGAGTAGCTAGGATTACAGGTATGTGCCACCAGAGCCCAGCTCCTCTTTTTTTTATTTGAAAGAGAAAAGCCATGGGGAACAAATTCTCTTATCTAGAGAGAGGAATAAGGAGGGATCCTACTTCTAGCTTTTTGATAACTAATTAGAGATAAAAGACACAGGGACTTTCTTCCTTGGGCTGGCTTTGAACCCTGATCTTCAGATCGCAGCCTCCTGATTGGCTAGGATTCCAGGTATGAGCCACTTGTTTTTTGTGCTGGTCATGGGGCTTGAATTCAGGACCTGGGTGCTGTCCTTGAGCTTTGTTTTTTGGGGGGGGTAGTTTATTGAAGATAAGAATCTCACAGGGGCTGGGAAGGTGGCTCAGTGGTAGAGTGCTTGCCTCCCATGCATGAGGCCCTGGGTTCCATTCCTCAGCCCCACATACACAGAAAAAGCTGGAAGTGGCGCTGTGGCTCAAGTGGTAGAGTGCTAGCCTTGAGCTGAAGGGCTGAGGGACCAGAGTTCAAGCCCCACAACCCACCAAAAAAATCTCACAGACTTTACTACCTGGGCTGGCTTCAAACCACAATCCTCAACTCTCATCCTCTAGAGTAGCTAGGATTACAGGCGGAAGCCACTGGCTTCCTGTTCCTGGCTGTCTGTTCCATTTTATAGGCCTCCAAATGAGGCTCAAAGAGAGAGAGTTACAGGTCTAATGTTCTGTTTTTCCTGTTCTCTTTAGCCACACGTCCTTGGTAAAAGCAGACTTCTGCCAACAGAGGGCTTCTAACGCCGCCCTCGGAAGGACTGACCCTGGGGACCTCAACAAGGTTCTTGTCCAATAGTGCTTGGCATTCATTTAGTCTGCAGTGTGGTCCACCCCTCCTCTGTCTATCCTGCCTAGCAGACTCGTGGAACAACCCTGCTCCCCAAGGACTGTAACTCACAGCAGCCTCACCAGGCTTCCCATCTTTGGCTCTGTTGGATATCTGAACTTCAGCCCATCCCTCCCGGGCATGGGCATCCTGGCTCCCTCGTTCCCTTAAGCTCCTCCCATAGCCTGGCCCCTGCCTTTCCTGCTCCTCCCTCGAGATTCCTTAGCTTCTCTCCATCTCCTACAGCCTTGATCCTCTCCCACACTTGGTCCCTTTCTGTCATTGACCCCCCCATCCCTTGCCGCCCTCTGCAGGTTCCTGCCACCGGCCCAGGATGGTTTCGAGGTGCTGGGCGCTGCGGAGCTGGAGGCGGTGCGTGAGGCCTTTGAGACTGGTGGCCTGGAGGCGGCATTGTCATGGGTGCGAGCCGGCCTGGAGCGCCTGGGCAGCGCCCGGCTGGACCTGGCAGTGGCCGGCACCTCCAACGTAGGACTTGTGCTGAACGAACTACTCGGGTTGGATCCTGGGGACCCAGGAGCTGTGCCTGCTACAATGCCCACGGTGCCCACCGCCTTCCCGGCCCCCGAGCGCCCCAATGTGGTGCTGTGGGCCATCCCTCTGGACCCCATGGGGGCGACCCCCGCCCCCACCTCTCACCCGAGCCACTACGACGCCCTCATCCTCGTCACCCCTGGGGTCCCCACGGACAACGACTGGGCCCAGGCCCGTGGATTGGTGTCGCCCGATGCGCCGCTGGTGTGTGTGCGAACCGATGGCCAGGGCGGGGATCCCCCCGAGGCACGGGTGGACGAGGACACGTGGGAGAAGCGCAGTGGCGGGGACGGCGGCGGGCACCTGAGCAGCCCGGGCGAGAAGGTGGGGGAGAAGCCTGGCGCCGGATCGCCAGGTTTGGAGGCGGGTGGCGGCGATCGCGCGCGGGCCACTGATGCCCGGACCTCGGGCAGCGCCGAGTCCGATCGCGGGGGGCCCTGCAGCCCCGAGGACGAGACGTGGGAGGTGCTGGAGGCCGCGCCGCCGCCCG